GGCAAATTGTGCAACTTTGACCAAAGTTTAATAATGCTCTTGCTATAGGTATAGGCCATTTATGTACCCTTTGAAATCTGAGACTGCATTGCCTGTCCTGCCTTGTTGCTAGGACATTGCTAAGGGTTAGGACCATTCACCTCCACCATCACAAGAGTGAGCTTTCATACCCTAAGCTCAGAGCTACCACATCGGGGCGAAAGCGCGCATGTGAGGAGTTTGAATCAGAGAGCTTCAGGCCCCACCACCTCAAGACCCAGTTATAAAAGCCCACGGGTGGGCAGGATGCAGGTTAATCACCCATCTAGTTTAGCTCCTAGCTCTGAGTCTCTATATCAGGGGTTTCCAAACTTTTTAAACAAAGGGCCAGTCTACTGTCCTTCAGAACTTCGGGGGCTTGGATTGTGGCCAGTGGGGTGGAAAATATCCCAGGCCCGGCATCAGCGAGAGTAAACAATTCCTCCGTTTTAGTGTTCAGTTGCAAAGTGCCTGTGATCAGTAGGAGAAGGAATAGTGCCCTGTCACTGGTACTACTGGGAGGAATAGTGCTCCATCATTGGTGTTGGTTGGAGGAATTATGCCCAACTGTTGGTATCAGTGGGTGAAATAGTGCCCCAAGGGCTGGATAAAGGCTAGCAAAGGGCCTCTGTTTGGAGACCACTGATCTAGAGCACCCAGATATGTTTGCAGTATGTGCTACTTCATATTTGTATCTCAGTGTGGATCATTTTTAAATGTTCATTGAATATATGGGGGGTTCATCTCATTTGTGCTCCAAACTAAACTAAAGTATGCAATCACTTGCCTTCACTACAGCGATGCACATCCAAAAACTCCCTTGCTAGTGTGTCTTCGGCCTTTGATTGGCCATTGTAGAGTGTTAGGCCTCCAGGTTGCGTTCTGTGCCCATGCAGTTGCATTCCAATGGGACTGAATTTTCGGGGATCCATGGAACATCTGTATATCCCTGTACAGGTAAACACAGCCCTCCATGGGCATACGGGTATATTGGCCTTGTATGAACAAAGCCTTAGAATTTGTAAGTGGGAAAGAAGCCTTTAGTGCAGAAGAGCCCCATTATGTCTCCTCCTGTAATAAAATATGAACCTTCCTGATCACATTTTTTTTGTGTTACAGCATTTTTCTTTCAGTTAGTGAAGTTAGTTTACCGGAATGTGGACTCTCTCCTCTGTAAATTTTTAGACACATACCTCAGAACGCCTAGGAGATCTTTGAACATTGTACAGTGTAAAGGAGTGAATAAAGCGGTTTTACCAGTTTGCATAAAAATAGTTTCTGGCTCTTCATTAAACTTCATTTCCTTGGGCGTTATATAAATGTCCCTCGTAATTGTGTTTACATTGACAGTGCTTACTATAAATGTGGGCTTGAATGGCATGTATGTGTCAGCTGACAACCCATGATTTGTGTAAGAAATAATATAAGGTGCCCAATAAAGCCATTTGAGGTCTGAAAAGAGGGCAAAAATTACATTATTAGCCCATAGCAACTAATCATGGGTTTTCTACAAAGATGGACTAAAATTGTTGCTAAGGGCAGCATCACAAATTTAACAACTGTTTGTTCATAAGCCAGCCATAGATCATTTGAATTTCGTCCGGTTCAGCAGGGACCGGCCAAGATTTGATCCATCAAAGAGCAGGCTGATTGTAGCCAAGATGATCGATCGATCTGGATTTGTAGGATGCGATTATTGCCAACAGCTATAGCCACTGGCAGTAATCATTGTGTTCTCCCAGGCAGGGATGGCTCCCCACGTCCCACTGCCGAGTGAACACAATAGCTCTGCAGGAGGGATTCCCCCATCAACCTGTGGTTGCAGGAAAGAAAATCACATCATCTATGGCCTGCCCTACTGTACATCTAGTGACTGTTGTCAAAATAACTTAAAAAGTTGCATACAGTGAAAATATGTGGTCAGCATATGTTCTAGTGGTAAGCCATCAGTTCGAATCCCAATCATGACACTACCTGCATGGAGTTTGCATGTTTTCCTTGCGTTTATGTTGGATTTCTCTGGGTATTCCAGTTTCCTCCCATAATCCAAAGACCCAAATACATGCTGGTAGGTTAATTGGCTCCTGTCTAAGGTAGGCATTAGATGATGCATTTTTTTGTGTTGCTGGCGCCACTGATTAAAAAAAAAAAAAAACAACAAAAAAAGACAGGCTAGTTGTACAGAAGTGGATTGAGAGACTGACTTTTGTACAGCTTGCCTGGCCATGGGTGGATCGACCTTCAGCCGGTTACTGCTGATCTAGATGAATTTTGATCAGTCTATGGCTGGCTTAAATTGACCCTAGTATATGTGAGATATGGACCTTGGATTGTAAGCTCCTTTAGGGCAGGGACTAACATGAATGCACAGCATATGTAAAGCTCTTCATAAAACTGGCAGTGCAGTATAAATATCTCTGTAAAAAATAAAGAAATAAATGAATATATATGATATATTTGGTTATGGTATACTGTAGGTCTTTTCAGGCATGGATTTCCCCATTACCTTTTTGCTTTTATTGCTTAAAGTGTTAGTTCATCTTTTCATAAATGATGAGAAAGTGGACTAACACTGTTTAAAGTCAACCCTTATGATCCCTGCTGCACTTACCTCTGTGGGTGATGAGATGTCAGTGTCCACACAGCCCATGTAGCGGTCGGTGGCTTGAAATCCCTGCTCATCTCCCTCTACTCTCTGCAGCACTTTTGGAACAGATCAGAGCGGTTCTGATTGGTCAGTGCCAGCAGAGAGCATCACTGTGATCAATCTTCGATGTCCTGCACAGTGAAGAGGGAGAAGAGCGGGATTTCAAATCCGTGGACTTTTACAGCGGCTGTTACATAGCCTGGCTGAAAAAAGACAAAAATCCAGACAAACAAAAAAAAAAAGTTATAATCCTATCCACCTGCGGCTCCTAGCTGTTGTGGAACTACATTTTCATGAGGCATTGCAAACAAAAAAACAGTTATAACTTCCTATAGTCCTGCCCACCATTGATCCAAAGAAAGGCAAAAAAAACCCAGCAAAGTATGAACCAATTTGCTACTGCAGGGGAAAAAAATTCCTTCCTGATCCCTCGAGAGGCAATCAGATATTCCCTTTATCAACTTTACAAATGTTGAGGCTCTGTGGGCACCAAAGGTCATCACCCACCAAGGTAGGTACAGCAGGGACCAGGACCTGGGGAGGCTGTATGGTGTTCTTCTTTTCATTTTGCTGAAAACATGAAGCAACCTTTTCAAAGAAGAACTCCAGATTCAGCAAAAAATCCATTAAACATTTTTTATGACAGTTTTTTTAGTACTCACAATTCTAGTAAAACACTTTTTTAGCTGCTGAGATCTGCCCAAGACATCACTATACAATCAGGTCTGCCAGGTAAGCAGAATAATTGTTTGTAGGTATAGAAATCATAACTGCTTTTTGGGAAGATGGAGGAAGGATGTTTCATCAGCCCCAGCATTTCTAGTCTATGGGTTTCTGGTGCTGTAGATCACATGCTTGCTGTCTGGACAGCACCATCTATTGGTTGAAAGGGAGATTCAGTTCTGTAGTGAGTTAAGGGTCCCCATACACGTTACAGTCTGACTACAATTGTTGCACAATCAACTTTCAATTTACCAATTACTATGTAATATAAGGACCTACTTAAACCATCCAAACAATTTGTGTCCAATTTGAGGTTGCAAGTTTTTTTTGTTGTTGTTGATTTGACTCAGAACTTACATTAAAGGATAAGTTCACCTTTTATAAGAAAAAATAATAAATGCGTATCTTTTGCAGGTAAAAAAGTATGCAATTATTATTTTTTTACTGTGAGCCATTGCAGCCACGGTCAACAGATTACGGTTGCAGTCCCAGGATCCTTCAAACTCTCAGTACAGCTGTTCGCCTGCACCTCATATGGGCTGAAAGTTACTGAATTATAGGAAGAATCAATGAACTACATGAGCGCTCACCAGCACCCTTTCAGTTCCTTGAGAACTACAGACTGTTGGCTGCCGCGTAGTTGTAGTTTATTCATTCACAGAACTTTGTGAGTGAATGACGCAGTTGTGTGGGCGGAGTGTTAACATACAATGATTGTTAACATACATGTTCCATAGATGAACTTATCCTTTAACTGCATCTCAGTGACTGTTAGAAGCATGTACTGTGTACGCTCACATAGAGGCCTGTATTGATTCTATAATATTGTACTGGAAGCTGGTTTGGATATAAATTGCTCTTTCGGGAGTTCTTGTCAGCACTTTGCAGGGGGAGAGATTTGGGAACTTGACACAGCAACGAAGAACCAAGTTTGTGTTTGCAGTCTGTTTTAACCACTTCAAGTCCGGACACTTTCACTTCCTTCCAGCCCAAGCTAATTTTCAGCTTTCAGCGCTGTCACACTTTGAGTGACAATTACTCTATCATGCAACACTGTACTCATATGAAATTTTTATATTTTTTTGAGACAGAGCTTTCTTTTTGGTGGTATTTAATCAGCAATGTTTTGTTTTTATTTTTTGCTATATAACTGATAAATACAGAAATTTAAAAAAAACATTTTTTTGCTTAGTTTTTGTTGTAAAATTTTGAAAATAAATAATTTTTCTTCATAAATTTAGGCCAAAATGCATTCTGCTACATTTTTGGGGTAAAATAACCAAAAACAGTGTATATTTAGTCTGTGTGAAAGTTAGTCTACAAACTATGGGATGCATATTTTAAAATTGATCAGTCAGGACTCTAAAATTCTGGGCACTGGTATGAGGTATGGCAGTGATCAGGACACTGATATGACGTATGGCAGTGATCAGGACACTGGTATGACGTATGGCAGTGATCAGGACACTGATATGACGTATGGCAGTGATCAGGACACTGGTATGACGTATGGCAGTGATCAGGACGCTGGTATGACGTATGGCAGTGATCAGGACGCTGGTATGGCAGTGATCAGGACACTGGTATGACGTATGGCAGTGATCAGGACGCTGGTATGGCAGTGATCAGGACGCTGGTATGACGTATGGCAGTGATCAGGACGCTGGTATGACGTATGGCAGTGATCAGGACGCTGGTATGACGTATGGCAGTGATCAGGACGCTGGTATGACGTATGGCAGTGAGCAGGACGCTGGTATGACGTATGGCAGTGAGCAGGACGCTGGTATGACGTATGGCAGTGAGCAGGACGCTGGTATGATGTATGGCAGTGAGCAGGACGCTGGTATGACATATGGCAGTGAGCAGGATGCTGGTATGGGGTATGGCGGTGATCAAGAGGTTGGTATGGTGTATGGCGGTGATCAAGAGGCTGGTATGGGGGTATGGCGGTGATCAAGAGGCTGGTATGGGGCATGGCGGTGATCAGGACGCTGGTGTGGGGTATGACGGGGATCAAGACGCTGGTGTGGGGTACGGCGAGTTTCAGGACGTTGGTATTGCGGGGATCAGGATGCTGGTATGGAGTATGGCAATGATCAGGGCGCTGGTGTGGGGTAGGGCGGGGATCAAGACGCTGGTGTGGGGTACGGCGATTCAGGACGTTGGCATAGCGGGGATCAGGACGCTGGTATGGAGTATGGCAATGATCAGGACGCTGGTATGGCGTATGGCAATGATCAGGACGCTGGTGTGGGGTACAGCAAGTTTCAGGACGCTGGTATAGTGGGGATCAGGACGCTGGTATGGAGTATGGCAATGATCAGGACGCTGATATGGGGTATAGCGGTGATCAGAATGTTTTTTTGGTGTATGGTGGTTATTGTGAGCACTGGTGACACTGGGATAGGAGCTGGCTGCATTATTTATTAGTTCTACATTTGAGCAGTGATCAGAGACAATGGGGCAGGCTGGCACTGCAGTCTGAGTATGCATGGACTGTGACAGGCAGTGTACACTCACAGGCTGCAGCAATGGCTCTCTCTGCTCTCACCACTGATCTAGGAGATCAGAGAAAACCGACCTTTACTTTCGGTTTGGCATGCTTACAATGTGATTGCTGTGACTGGACACAGCAATCACATGGTACAAGGCCATGTGATCACTAGGACACAGGTAATGTGATCCGCTGTGTCTGGGTGACACACAGATCACCGGGGTGCACGCTCAGTGAGCTGTGCGTGAGACACCGATGCGGGCTGATGTACAGGTGCGTTAACCCGCATCGGCGCTGCTATCCATCCACCATTTATAGGCTATGGGTGGATGGGAAGCAGTTAAAAGTATCTCTAAACCCAAATGTAAAATATCTCACTTTCCACATCTAATCATCTTACCTGCTGAGTGGATTATTTTCCTTTATTCAGCCTCTTCTTTTTTCCTCTGTCCTAGGGTAGCTACACTCACTGATTCTCCTGAATCTATGGGGAAAGTCATGGTTCCCACATAGGCTGGCCTTCAAGCATGTCTTCTTCTTTGTTTACATTGGGGTAAAGGTAGATTACCAAAGAAAGATAACATTTGTGATTTTCAGCTCACGGTAAAGTTAGCTATAGATGATAGTCCATCCACAGAAATGAGATGGATGGCGGAATCTCCGCTGAGGACGCAATGCTTTTCTTCACGCTTGCAACAAAGTTTACCCATCATTTAACCAAAGGTGACAAACTCAAGTAAATGGGGACACGCCGCAAGCGCCCGCAGCAGTGCAAAAATTGGATCAAAACAGGCAGTGAGGAGTTGTCACAACACTTTCTCCCCACCTCTCAGTAGCCTCTGAAGTGTGATCTGAACGTGGATTGGGCTTCAGAGGAAAGGGAGATTAAAGGAGCAGTCCAGCCAAAGCTCTTTTGGCTGTACTTCTCATGTGGATCACAGGAGTGCAGTTCGTTCTGCACTCCTGTGACCCACTTTCCGCTGTCAGCTGGCGTCACTCCGTCGGTCTGATGCTTCATCCACCTAGGTAAGTATATTAGGGAAAGAAAATTTTTCCCATACTTGTCTTTTAAGACCCCATGTCTAAATCTACCCTAATAGACAGTTAGAGCAAAATTACATGCTATGATAACGTTGTTTATAGAGTTGTAATCTGATGTGAATTCGGCTTCTATTTTAGGAATATTTCATGACCAAGTTCAGTTGATTTCAATTTCACAAATTTATAAGGTCATCAATTTCAGATTTGCAACAAATGTTATATTGTTTAGAGTTTGCCAAACAGTCCTATATTCTAAAAGAGGTCACCAAGTTCTTAGCTTAATCCATTTAAATTGACCCTCTCCATCTTTCTGTCCTTAAATATTTAAAGTGGAACTCTAGGCAGATATAAAAGACACAAGTAAGTGCCTGATTTCGACCTGGTGTCAGCCTCTTGCAGTTCCTTTACAGCAGGGCTGGAGTACGAATGAAGCAGCACAAGGAACTGCACCACTGTCTGTATCAGCAGAAAAAATAGTGTCCCATAGTTGGTGTCAGTGAGAGGAATAGTGCCCCATTGTTGGTGTCAGTGAGAGAAATAGTGCCCCGTTGTTGGTGTCAGTGGAAGGACTAGCGCCTCAAATCCTTGAGGAAACGTGTCCCAAGGGCAGGATAATGGCAGGCAAAGAGCCATAGTTAGGAGACCACTGGTCAAAAAAAAATATATATTTTTGGCTTGACATAAACTACTAAACCCACAGCAGTAAAATCCGTCTGTATATGCAGTAAAGCATCCTTTGTTATACTCACTGTGGAACCTAAGGGGTTATTCTTCCACATTGTGCAAAAATGTTTGAGCTTGTCTTCTCTGATCCTCCCCTTCTTCTACTGTCCCTAATCCATCTTCTGATATCACAGAGTCTTGGGGGCAAGCTGCAAATGCCAAGTTTGGTGTGTATTGCTAGATTTTTTTTTTTTTCTTGGGAGAGTGCGTGTGATCAGTACAAGGCCAATCAGTCCAGACAAGCAGCCTCCTAGGGGAGAATGAAAACGCCTGCTACAAGCTTTAACATGTGCTCTGCTGGACACTGATAGAAGTCACAAGACTGCTTTAACTGCTGATTAGAAAAGGTATTTAGCAGTTTGTGTTTACTAAAATAATTGCATTTCCATGTTGTGTGTACGACCAGATATAGTGAATGCCAGGGTCCTGGGTTTAGTAACACTTTAACCCCACAGACACGTATATCCAAGTCACATGTACTTTTACTTGAGCCTATCCTCAACTCCTGTACATTGTGCTTGGTACACTACAGACTCACTCCGCAGTGCCAGATAAGCAGTATGAATGGGATGCACACCATCTCTCCTTCTGGTACTTTTTTAAATGTATTTTTTAACTTTTTTTCATGTTTTATGTGTGTATGGAAGTTGTTTTCTTGACTTTTGTAAGTGATGCCAATCTGCATTATTGGAGTAATAGAATGCTGGTGCTTGGAAACGTAATGGGGGCACATGCTTTCACATTTGTTGCTTGGTGCTTGTGTTGCATAGTTGAAGGGTCAGCATTTACAAGGATCTTATTTGTGTCATCACATGAATGCAGCAGCTAGGAGAGTGTCCGTACAAATGCCCTCATTTTCTTTAAAGGTGTAATGCCTCGTGTAGAAAGCATGGCTGAGGAACATTTGGCACAGCTTATGCACTCTTTAGACTCTTTGCTAACGGGCCAGAGGACTCCTTTCCACGTAAAACACCAAACTGTAATCAAAGCCAAGGTCTCTAAACTTTCTAACTTTCTAAACAAAGGGCCAGTTTACCTTCCCTCAGACTTTAGGGGGCCAGACTGTGGCCAGTGGGAGTAGAAAATGTCCCAGAATCATTGTGAGTGGACATTGTGCTAGGCTTGGTTGTCACTGAGAGTGAAAAGAATACATAGTACCCGTGGTTAGTAGGAGGGGAATTGGTGCCCCATCATTGGTGACAGTGGGAGGAATAGTGCCCCATCGTTGGTGTCAGTGGGAGGAATAGTGCTCCATTGTTGATGGTAGTCGGTGGAATAGAGTCCCATCCTTGATATTATGGAGGGGAATAGTGTCCCATTGTTGGTGTCAGTGGAAGGGATAGTGCACCATTGTTGGTGTTGGTGGATGGAATCGTGCCCCATTGTTGGTGTAGGTGGAAGTGATAGTGCCCCATTGTTGGTGTCCATGGGAGGAATAGTGCTCTATTGTTGGTATTATTGGGGGAAATATTGTCCCGTTGTTGTGAGTGGGAGGGATGGTGCCTCATTGTTGGTCACAATGGGAAGGATAGTGCCCCATTGTTGATATAAGCAGGAGGAATAGTGTCCCATTGTTGATGTCAGTGAAAGGAATAGTGGGAGGTACCTTCCACCTGCACCTAAACCAAGGAGTGTCATCGACTCATGTGACTCCCCTATGCCTAGGACCACACTAGAATGTGATGCGTCTCCCACACCACGTTCAAAACACACTGCAGCGGGTATCAATGTTACGTTAATGACAGCCCAAATGCAGGTTGCAAAGCAGTGTTTTAGCGTGCATTGGCTAAAATGCACTGTGATGTCCCAGCAGGACACTTTATCAATTATTAAAATAACAAAGTGCACTCACATTTAAAAGTGTCCTGCTGGGACACCACAGTAAAAACACCTGTAAAATATTAATTCCAATGCATTCAAGGAAATTCGAAGATGGTGGCTCATAAACGTCCGGTTTTGCGGAGATGGTCTCCTGAGGAAGTGACGTAATGCGTAGGGTGGGCTGATGACGTCAAGCCGCAAAACCAGAAGTTTACGAGCCGCCATCTTGGAATTTCCTTGAATGCATTGGAGTTAGTATATGATAGGTGTTTTTTTACTGTAGTGTCCCAGCAGGACACTTTTTTTTTTTGTTTACAAACATTTTTATTTAGTTTTTTTGTCAAGAAATATACTACAAAATGGCTTTACAGCATCAAGTAAGACATACAACAGGAACAAGACACATCTGTAATGCTTATTTCAAATGGTACAACCATGCAAAGTAAAAAAAAAAAAAAAGAAGAGAAATGAGCAGTATAGGTAGAAGGGTATGTAAAGCTATATAGCTACCAAGAAAATGACTCAATCAACCAAAATATGAGTGGACATTAGTCAGATAGTAAATGCCAGTGAGTTCCACAGACTTCCCATTTTCTGTCAAATAAGTGCATCTTATCCAATAGGGTGTAACGAATTCTCTCCATGAGCATCACTGCATCAGCTCTAAGCAGAACTGTGGCCAATGGTACCGTGAGGGATTTCCAATGTAGGGCTATAGCCCATAGGGCAGATATACAGATGGTATTGATTAGCCTCATAATCTTAGTCCGAACTCCCGGGATATGGGCTCCTAGTAGGCACCGGGGCTCTGCCACAGCGGAGGCCGCATCCGAGATCTTGCGCCATACCAATGAGAGGCCGGGGCAGTCCCAAAATATATGCGCTAAGGTACCAGTAAGGCCGCAGCCCCGGAAGCAAAGGTGGGATGTCCCTGGAAACATATGTAATCTAGATGGGGTATAATACCATCTGGTTAATATTTTGAGGGCAGTTTCCCGGACAGAAAGATCTAGAGCTCTTACATATATTATCCACCATGGACTCCCAATCCTCATCAGAGAAGGTGACACCACCATCCTCCTCCCACTTCTGTCTATAAAGGGGGGGAGATGGGAAGGCAG